GGATAATAGTTGCACCTGAAATGGAAATTACGTAAGCGAAATAATTAACGTATTGAATCGATATCTCGAGTTGTTTGCGAGGTAGCAAGGGAATAAATTACGCGAGAATTTCATTGAAATATAAATGGGTCCAGATCCAGAATATTGCCGTTTCGCATGTTCATAATTGATAAAGGCCTTTTATAAACTTCCAAGTCCACGGGACGTCTCGGAACTGAAACAATTTCACTTGAAATTTCTGAGGAGTTTAGTTTAATTTTGTTAAAGCTTTCAATTATTTCATTAAACACAAGCGGTGTGTGGGATTGGCGCTGGGAGTTTTGCGGATTTATTTTAATATTTAGCAGTGTTTTGAATGCTACATGTTCAACGCGAGCTTTCTATATTTGAACGTATCCAATTTGTATGCAAGAGTCAATATCTAGAGTTGTTTGTTATCTATTTTATACACTATAAAATGTGGGAAATGCATCGTTTTCAAACTGGCTTTATTGTTTTTCGATAAATAAGTTAACAAGCTTCCGATTTATGATTTATCTCTTTTATATACACTCTCAAGTCAAGCTTTGTAGTTATTTATTCATAAAATATGCCCCGCAGCTGACTTGAAATCTGCGCCGCCTTTATTAATATTTAAACCATTACCTTGGCTCGAGCTGTTATTCTAAATGGCGCAACGATTCCCGATATTACACCTTGTTAATATTTATTTAGCTTCGTGATGAAATTTAGCGACACCAAACAGCATCGTTTAAAAATGGAACACTTTTATTTCGGCCCAAAATTTATCGGTGAGCTCTTTAGCTTTTTAAATATTTTCGGCAATAAAAAGTCGTGTTGGCAAGAAAAAATAATTAATGTCGGACTTGAAGGGGAACCTTAGGCAATAACGGCCAGTAAATGCAATTTAATGTTTATATAAGAGGAAAGTTTTTCTAGTGAAACAAGTAAATAACGTTAAAGAAAATGCGCACACGAACACAAAGCTCTCCACTAGTGCGATTCGAGGCGGGCGATTGCCTCTTAAAGTAGAATTTAACGTAGCGACTTTTAAAGTTTCAGGACTCGGAAAACTTTATATAATGCTCTTGTAGACGCAGCTCGGCCTGTCACAGCAGTTACTGTCTGATCTTTGCCGCACATGGATTATAAATTGCTGCATTTACCGATACAGAGTACAAAGAATATTTTAACTTGTGTGTATTGAATTTGATTCATTCATAAGCTCGTTTTGCATTCGATTCATGCAAAACTTGAATAATCAAAATGTATAGGACTTGACATACGTTTACTTGCTGTAATCGCATTAATTTTTGCCGTGAATTTAATTACGGTAATGTGAAACTTTGAATGTCAGTAATAATAATTACCCTATTATTGAGAATAGACTGGAAGCTAGTCATAAGTTAATGCTAGTCACTCACCTTTATATCACGTAATTGGCACGTCAGTTTCATAGAGTTGAATGTTGCCGAGTTTAACAAAAAAAATAATGGTTAATTATGATTGATATTCTTTTAACGACTTGAATTAGTTGCTGTTTTCAGACAACTTGCAACTTCTGACAGTTCGACTCTCTTTATCTTATGTCTTATTCTGTTGAAAATTAACTTACAAAACCTGATTTAGGTCCAACATATCTGCATTTGGAGTCAATACTCCAAATAAGCAAAATAAACTGTTATTTAACTTGACGAAAATAATAAACAAACTTTTCCTTTAATGCAGTAATTTTTGTTATTTGTAGTCTAATGCCGTACATTTGATCTCCCAGAACTTAAATCGCTTTCAAATGGTGTATCTAAAATGCAGATTTGTCCCAAGTTCAAGTTTTCAGAGTTTCAGAAAACAATATTAGAAAACAATTCTTAGCTTGTTTGTGGTTGTTCACATGTCTTTTATTACCTTCACTCTTAACAAAATTAATTCGGAGTATTATGTTGCAAAAACTAATAGTTAGTAGCGTTTTAATTTTGTAAAAAATTGCGATTGGATAGTCGATTAGATAGGTGTTGTTCTACTGAAAACAGGGCTATTTGGAGATGATTTCGTTTGTGGTACTGTAATTCATCACGGTTAATGACAAATTAATTGCTACTTGGCTTTTCTGTGTGGCGACCATTACTTAAAACGCTCCATCAAGCTAATTCGTGTAATAAGTCAGGAGCACAACGATGTAAATTATGTCAAGAAATTTTTGTCGAATTTGATATGACAGCGTGATCAATTCGCGAACTTTTAGTTTAAAAGATATTTATCTCTCGCAGTTGTTTACGTATTATATTGTAGTAAAAAGAACAATAGGAAGTTTGTATTCTTGAAAAGTTTGTTTCTGTTAAAACAGCAACACTTAACCAATTTAACGCAAAACTTGTACGAACATTCTTGAAATAATGATCTTTCTACCGGGATTTACGTGTTTTGGATTAATATAATATGAAGGGGAGGCGGGTTCAAATGTGGCTCTTGCCCAGAGTACATTATATTTTTTCTTTTTATGACATGGTATTAATCATATTTATGGGTTTTTTCGTGCAGTTTGAGTTCGTCCAACTAAATTGCGGCTATTAATTTCTAAATATGTAGGTAACGAAATTGCTTAGACTGCTAAGTTTTTATTTGATGAAAAATATTTTTTTGATTAATGATACCTTGAATTTTACGAAGTCTTACAGGCGGCGCGTTTGTAATTAACCTAAATTAGAAGTAGCTTTTATTGAACTTATCTTAATTAGTGCGAATGAAAATAATTACATGCGCTAACGCGGATAGCCTCAGTTTCTTTTATTTGTAAATTAATCACTCGTCTCACGCTTATTTTAGCACGCACGTAGAATTACGTTTGGCCCGGCCCTACTTTACTTAATATCTCATTTCTTCGACTTTATCATTGTTGTAAGCCGCACCTAAATTTATTACTTTCACACCGTCGACTTGGGCCATCAGTAAGCGTGACTGCAGGAAATGAATGATTAAGGGGAGGCCCTTCCTGCTATCTTGCCTTTTCGTGATTGACCATTGATGGTATTTTTGATAGTTGGATGATTTTATTATTGGACAGGTGATGCCAATACAGATGGATATATCTAGCTTCAGTCAATTTATTGATGAGGAGAGTTTTACTGGGAGTTATGAGAAGTTGCGAATTTTTTTGTTGGAAGTTATGTAACTTATATCATTAAGTTAATCTGAAAATGTCGTTTCCGGTGCCGTTTTTTCTTTGTTGAATGCTTCCGTTACATTCGTGTGTCAGAGTCATTTCCTAGCTCACTTAGAAGAGGCCGATTCTAAACTGTTTAGTGCTTATAAAGTTAACTTTTTATACGCACGACATTTTTTATGGGGAACAGAAGTTATTTTCATATAAATCCGTGATTTATACTTTATGTTTTCTATGATTTCCTTTATGAATTATTTTCACTTTCGCTCATTTTTATGTCGAAAGTTTTAATGGAGCAGGACGTTTGGTGAAGTTTTTTTATTTTTCATTCCAATTTTTGTTGCTGTATTTTTTATATTTTCCGAACTTTCCTTGAGACTCAAAGAAATGCTTTATGCAAGGACGCCTGCTAAATTCTCCTTATTTATTTCACGATTTTAAGGGTGTTTTAGGAATATTTTATTGCATTCTAAAGTGTAGTGGATATTTATTCAATTCGGGTTATTCCGGGGGCATATTTCAAGTTTGCAACATAAAAATATTTTATTATTTTATGTGCTACTATAAATTACAACAAAATGCTCTTATGTAACCAAGTTTTGATAAAACGTTCACGGGTTTTAGATTTAAAACACTTCAGGGACTTGTACCATATAAAATCAGTATACGGTAGTAAAAATAATATATAGTGACGGTTGTTTTTGGAAGATATTTACATTAGAATTCACCCCATTTTAGCATAATGACCCACCTATAAAACGCCGTTTATCGACAGAACGTTAAGCATGCACACATTATATCAAGAAAATATTGGTATAAATTCACATTGTTTTATGTTTTTCCAACTTTTAAATTCCGATTTGTTCTTTCACAACGCACACGCGAAAAACTTCAAGTGAGTTTATTCACTTGAAAATTTCAATTTATAATAATTTGTTAAACAAAATGTTATAATGAAAAACATCTTTAAAACAAATTTGTTGTGTACAATTTGATAAATGTTTGAAAACAAAGAAATTATTTATATACATGAGCTGTTGATGACATATTCGTAAAATGTATTAAACAATTTTTAACTTTCTTATATGATTTTATTTCAAAGAGTGAGTTATTGGAATGGCTTTATTGTAAAAATTTTCTGCCCAACGAATTATGTTTCGCTAATTATTCAGTACTGTTGAAAGAAAATTCCATTTTAAATTTTCTATGTTATAATTTTACAAGATAATAAGGCATTTGAGGTTTCAACAAGGACTTAGAATAGAAGTTAAGTGTTGTATGAAACAGGGAATATTATTGCACTATTGGAATTATATCATTTGCCCGGTGCGCCGGGTGCTTAATAATAAAATTTGTATAGTACTATGATAAAAAAAATACCTAAAAATTATTAAAAGTTGTTTGTTGGGTCTAGAACTTTAAAAGGAAGTAAAGACAATGACACATGACTCTGATGTCCGTTATTATAAAATTAATAGATCTTCAGGTTTTGCGTGTATTTTTTTATTTGTCTAGATGTTATCAACGTAGAAATGAGAATTTTGAATTTGTATTGCATCGAAAATTGTCTTTTATTTTCTATTTGATCACACAATGAAGAGCGATTAATGGTTTGTAAGAGGATTACATAGTGCGACGTCCTCTTTTTAGGAATGTTATTAGTTGGTAAAAACATTGGCATGCTGTACTCTTTACAAGAGAGAACAGATCTATTAAGTTATAACTGTTGCTTCTACAATAGAGTAAATAAAGTAGTGATAGTAACTTTAAGTCACATTAATGATTTCTTGTAATGAGTTGTCGTAAGTTCTTGTTTCTGAATATGTTTGTTTTGTTTCAGAAAGCCTAAGAGAATACTTTAGTAAATACGGCGACATAACAGAAGTAATGGTAATGAAAGATCCTGCCACCCGGCGGTCGAGGTAAGTTTCCTTCAAACAAATCGCATAGAGTCAAGTAAACTAAGCTGAACTTCAACTCTCTCGCTCCGGCCAAGTTTCCAGGAGATGAATTAACTTAAGTCACTGATGTGGTTCTGGATAAACTGGGTTGTTCACTTAGTTTCCTTGATGTGATGATCCCTGATACTCTCCAAAACTCTATCCATCCTTTTGACGTATCGCCCCTTTAATAGATTCGGACTTGTATTAGAGAGCAGGCCGAGACCGAACCGCAAACTTTTCCAACTTCAATGAAGTTTACTCTCGAGATTTCATTAATTACTTATAGCTTAACACTTAACAGAAAAAGTCTTTTCGAGGGCCCACACGCTCTAAATAACATATCGGGTAGGTCTGCATCGAGCACCATCTGCAATGATCTCATCAACAACACGCTTCAATTTTTTGTTTTCAATATTTAGATGCAAATAGTTGTAATTTATTAGAGTTCGACAAGCCTTTAGTCGTAAGTAAATTTATTTTAGGATTTGTCGAAATGATAGCCAATCATCAACCGATTGGATAAAACATTTACAAAGGCTTTTTCCTGCAATGGTCTCACATTAAATCACTTTGATGTAGAGCTCATGCAACGTTCGTCCTAGGTGTTAGTGTTACTAGTTATAGTTGCCTATCTAGTAGTGTTTTGTGTCTTCCATTATTTAGCAGTAGTTGTACATCAACTGAGACACAATGAGATCGTCCATTAATGATATTCAAATCTGAGGATTTTCGATGTTTTTACCAGGATTAGAGTGCATGCCTTAGCATACGAGCTTTTAAGAAAGGGCTTTTGCTTTGAGTCAGCAACTTGTGTTGTGTTGAATTGTTTTACTATTAAGCTAGAGCTATCAAATTTATGACTGCTACATAAAAGTTATTTCAAAAGTTTTATACACTTTACTTCAAACTTCAATACAAGTTTGATCGAACTTGCACTGTAATAAATTCATAATAACCCAATTATTTTTATATTTTTAATCGGAGAGCATTTGCTTTTTTATGGAGCTTGTAGATACAACTTTGTAAGTTTGTTCTACGGTTTAAACAGGTTTTAATTTACTTAAGATGATCATTATTTCCCACAATTTTATGCAATTTTTGCTTATTTAAAAACGGGGATTTTGTCAGTCTTTTGGCCGTGTCTTTTGCCTTGGGTATTAATGAAAAGCTTTATTGTTAAAGAGATAATCATTTTGCGGCCAATAATGAATATATGATAGCGATAAATTTCCGCTATTTTGTGTCTTTACGGTCCAGTTTTCGATTCACCATTTGGGTTTAGTGTTATCCAAAAATAATTGTGGTTCAATAAAATTGTACCAGATCATTTGAAAACGAGTTATACATCGATGAGGCAATTTTGTGAATTTATTATAGTATTTAATGTGCATTCTGGGAGCATTCATTACCTTTAAAATGCACCGCAAATATGCATTTAATATTTTGCACAAAACGCTCCAACGCGAACGAATCTCGTTTGCTTAATTATTTAACTCGGTCGGGTTAAAACGGCTATATCACGATGTTGTCGATGTTATGTGCAAGTTGTTAATGAGAATAATTAAAACGGCTTCAATTCTCATTTGTTATTGGTTTCGGTTATACTGGAGGCAACACAATCGGCCACATTTGATATAACAACGAGCAGACCTCAAACTATAGGTTCATTCTGTCGTAATCAGATTTCTGTTCGGCGAATTTGATGTCATTTGTAGCGTATTGTGCAAGTCATTCTTCGTTACTGTGCATTTCTCGAGGAAGAAAACATACGTTTTTGATAAGCTTATGTTTTTTATTGAGTTTTGCATGAGGCTTAAATTTCGTCGGAAAGCGCAGATTTGAGCGTCCTAACAATTATTCAGTTAGTTCGGCTGGACAGAGCGGAAACAATGAAATTAACTGCAATTGGTAATTGTGTTAGCGATCGTCAAAAATGTAATGAAAGCGGCGCAATGTAACGCAGGTAGCGATTAAACGAGTCGAGATTGTGTTTTTCTCTTTTTTTTTCTCTCGTATGCTATTGTAGCGTGTCAGAGAGCCCTTTTAAAATTGGACCGTTCCATCAAAGTCTGCTACATACTGTGTCCGATTTATATTAACTTTGTTCGTGAAGTCCGATCGCGAGGCCATTCAATGCCGGAACTCTCCGTGTAACGACTCCATTGCACCGCCAATTTAACGGACTGCTTAGAAACTAATTGCTAGCCAGAATGGAAGGGCTTTTGCACGGTTCCTAACCTTCTCAGGAATCCTCATATTATTGAGCTATCCTCCACATTTTTATTAGATTGATGCACGCTTTTCAAATTCACAACAATTTTAATTAAACAGTGGTAAATTTCCCGGAAAAAACGTTTCGTTTCAGAAAAATATTCCAAGCATTTGTCAAACGGGTGAATCACAATACCGAAACCGTCAATAAATAACTCGGAACGAGCCGGAGCTGTTGTTATAAGCAGGAGGATTAGGAATGTCAAAACAAATCTGCTCCAGCTCGGGTTTCCCAATTAATCAGGTCAGAGGTTGGCAAACAAGAGATATACAATAGTTTGACGATGCTTACTTGTATGGAGTTGTTTAAATTTACGATCCAGTTTTGACACTCGCGATTTAGAACCAGCAATTTTCAAACGATCATTTTGCTAACAATTTATCACAGTGCAGTTTGTCTTGTTTTTGATCAATTTCTCATCAGCTTACCACTCTCTTTGCATGAAACCTACACTTTTGATACTGAGATCATAATTTGCATTCCCAGTATACCTACAACACTATTAAATAATTTTTCTGCTCTATACAATTGAAAATCAGAAGAAAAAAGGCCATCATAATAGACCATTATTAACTCAAGAAGTTCACATCGAAAACAACAAACTGTGTTGTTCATTTTTTTTGCTTCTTATTTGTGAATAACTATGTTACAGTTTTAGTTGAGAAATTGAAGTCTAGTATTCCTGAATATTCAGCTTTTATTGTTTGAAATTGCTGTTTAAATAAATCCGTTGAGCCATCATTTTAAAGTTGTAAAGAACATAGAAAATACAATTCTTTTTTTTTTGGTCTTGCGAATTAGCTTTCGGTACATTTAGAAAAAGGAGCATTGATCGCGCCGTTTTCCACTAACCAATCTGTAAATTTACACGCTTCGCCTTGATTAAATCCACAGTGGCGTGTAAAGTTTCACGGCTAATTTTCCGGCGAATGTAAAATTCCGGCCCCATTTCATTAGGTGTAAATAAAACGTGTTTGCGGGTAATAATTGCGTTTAGACGCATTTGCGGTCCACTCAGTGTAAAGTGGTCTTTTGTCTGCTCCATCATTTCTGATGATGTTGGAACTGGTGGCGTTGCCAACAAATCTGTGTCTTGAGAGCTAAACATTTATATGTGCTCGAAACGTGCCGTAATATCTTCAATATTTGTATTCTTCGTCCTCTGGCCCAGCTCTGAGTAAATAGTCGAATCGTGCCGGTGTACTTCCAGACTTTAATATAGAAAGGGTGGGTCGAGAGCGGAGTGGAGGTCCGCCGCAGGTGTCGTGGAAATATGAACACTAGGTAATGTTGCAACTAGGAATCTCGCCACCAGCAATAACACTATGTAATTACTTGGGTTTAGGTGCTCTCTCTGGATGTGCGTGGTCTACACGTGGATGATGGGTTATTACACGACCGACCTCTATAACATAAAACCTGAGAATTACAATTTATTATTAATACATCCACATTGCACACAACCTAAATTGGCACAAATGATGACGACCATTAGCATTTGTGTGACCACCCTTACAATAAGTACACAAAATTAACAATTCACCCTATACTATCTTAAATTATATTGCAAGTTGTATTTTTTTATTTTTCTATTTTTATTATTTTCCTTAATGTTTATATTAATGTTTTTTTATTCATTGTTAAGAATATGTTAAAATGGTTGAGTTTTCGTCTGTTACAAAAATAAGAAATAAATTGTATTATTGGTGGTAATATATCTACTAAGAAGTCACTGGTGCAGCTGGGGTCGAGAATTAAAATACGTAAATGTAGGTTTTGTAGTTCAGTACCAAATTATTTGCTTCTGCAGCTGAATTCCTCCGTGACAATAGTGCGTATTGGAGAATGCTGGAGTACTTCTGAGTGCACTGGATTAATACGGGTTTGACATTCTTTGAATGTATGGAATTATCCGTATACGTTAACCACACTCTAGATTATGCCATTTGTTAATACTAATTAATACTAATTGCACATGGTTGAGGATTCCTTTAACCGATCGAAAATTTGCAAATCATCTCACACACACATTTGTATTTACCAAATTTACATTTCACTGAATCCCACTTCTTCACCCACTACAGTTGACTCAAATCTTTATAATGGTATCATAATATAAGGAAAATAAATTTTGCTGTAATTCTTCTGGGTGTGAGTTATGTCATCGTCCACTTTAAGTTATGTTCCGAAGGCGTCTGTCGGAAGGCAATTGCTCGCACACTTCAGTTTAATTTCTGGTGTGGCCGGAGGCGACTCCGGTATTCCTGTCTGCCACATCAGTAAAGGTTTTATATTTGCTTTGTCTTGGCGTGTATATCGTCAATCGTTATCCGAGACTCAAGCGCTGCCCATTTCACGGTTAATGAAACACACCTGTGTCGACGTACTTTTCACCTTCTATATTTTTTAAAAATAATGTTGTCGACGCTAATTGCATGAGCTGTTTTTAAAGGTAACAAACGCCCGCGTCGTCTACTAACAATATTTTACTGGCTTTTAATTTTACGTAAGGTGGAAGCGTTTTTAATAGCAGTGCTTGAGGTTTTCAGCGCAAAATCGTGTATTTATCATCCAGATATTATACGATTTTGAAGATTAATGCCGTAGGAAGTTAGGCGGGGGGCAAAAGGAGCAATTGTGTAATTATTATATTAATACATAATTTTTCAAAAATACAAATAATATTTAATTAATAATAAAACTTGAA